AAGAGCATTTAATTCACATCAATTTATTTAACAGACGCTCTTATTTTATGTCACAATGTTTCTTTGCTTTACATTTTTCAAAATACAACTCTGGATTTAATAGTTTTACAATAAAAATAAATCCCAGTTTTTTAATATGGTCTCAGACATTTATGACAATTTAAAAGCATGTTAATTTTGTAAGTAGTTCCTGTATTAGCATGTGTCGTTTGCAAGTCTTCTGGCCTGGAAGTTGCAGGAGCATTTCCTGGTGGGTTAGTTGCTCGTCCCTGTTCTGTCAGTTCGGCCAACATCATACTTGCCTCACAGCACATACGCTGCCTCATTTCATTATTCGTCAATGTTACAGCTGCTCAAGGCATGTTACACTGACTCATATGCTGCCAAAATTTTCTCTTCTGACACCTGACCTAAATGTTTAAATTTTTTAAAGCTTCTCTGTTCAAAAATGTGAGCATAATCTTATTTTAACAAGTCATTTAAGGGATAAATCTCATCTTGTTTTTAATTAAAGAGGGGGTGTGCGGTAATTTTTAACTTGAATGTGCGAGACGTCCGGTCGCTTCTGCTTTTGAGTTATTTTTTAGCAGTACAAAAACAGTCCGTGCTGCTGTTTGATATTGCAAAAAAGGTATTTTATTATCATATTATTTTTTATTTATTATCGTAATCATGAGCACATTGGTTTGTAGTACAAATAGTTTAAATTTAGTTTTAAAATGATTTTTTTATTCTTATTTACTCGTACATTCACAGAAAATACCTTATGTCTGCATTGCAAAAAAGTTGGATTAATGGCCATGATTTTGAAATTAAATGCCCAACAAACACATTGGGGTCTGATAAATAATATATAGTCTGATGTTTAGGACTAAAAACCTCACAGGCTTTTTTTTATATTTAGTATAAAATAAAACAAAGTTGGCAACTAACTGTTTAGTGTGGGATTAGTTTTGTATGGCATTAGTGCTCTTTTTTGTGGGCATTCAAGCCATCCCCGGACTTTTATGACCTTTCACTTGATTTGTGGGTGGCATGTAGCAAGTATCATATCCTTGGCAGTTATAGGCTAAAGAAATACTCAATTAAAAAGTGCAAAGATATTAGTAATTCAGACAAAGTGTGCATCTGATTATCTTTAAATAGTTATGAAATAGTTATATATGAAACTAATTGTGACTGTTGACTTGATGAACTATGCAGAAAGCATATAGGCCTAATGCATTTATTTTGTGTCCTAATTTCGGTTTCAGCTCGGAACTTCCACCTTCTCAAATGATCTAATTATAGGCATACATTATCTTTTATCTTTCACTTTTACTGCATATACAAACTGATGCAACTCCTTAGTACACTCGTCACAAGTTATGCTTTTGCAGTTCAGCAGTCAAGTTTGTGTGTGCCCATCTTGCAAGCTTTCTCACCCACATTAAAGATAGCATAAAACGCATTGGTCTCTCAGATTAAAAGGAAATATGCTTTAAATATTCACAGGAAGTCTTCAATGCCCATATATAATGCCTTAAAGATGTCTAGAGAATTATTGTCTCCATCAAGCTCCATCATTCAGGCTTCTCACAGATGGACTTAAAGGTAACAAAATTCGGTTATGTTTTCTTTGCAAATGTATTGTTTATACAAAATGTTATTTCAAAAATGTTTGTTTTTGAATGTTTATAATTATTTCAAAATGTTACTCACTATGTGAAGGTTTGGTGAGTAAGTGACGAACACAGATATTAATTTTGTTATCTTGTGGAACCATTCATAAATGTTAATATTCAAACCATAATATATATTAAAAAAAATCAACCATATTTAACCTCAGATGACCTTTACACAAAACAATGTTTGTGTGCAACATAAAATAAATTAACAGATCACTAGATAATACACTCTAAAAACAGGCTCAGCAACAACTATTTTGGAGTTATGACAACTTCTCATAAAATTATGTTCAGCCAACAAAACTACACAGAGTTAGAGGAATTTAATAAAAGCCAAATGTTTGTGCAGATTACTCAAAAAAATATTTTGACATAATTCAACATTGTCACTGCCTAATTTTCAAAGTTATCATGAAAAGTAAAAAAAAAAAATCAGTTAAAAGAAAATTTGGTTTAAGTTACACACAATATTACATTAATATAATTATCAATATGTCAACAGAACTCATCAAAATAATGTTTGCTTCTTAAAAGGTTTAATTAAGTAAATTATAGATGTTTTAATGCAACCATGCATTCATTTAAGTTGTGGTGGAAAAATCCAAGGGATCTTAATCCATCTAACCTTAATTCATTATATTTCTTTCTTCAGTGTAACCATGATTTATTATAAATCTAAAAATATTATTATCTGCCATTTTTTACAGATGAACAGTTCAGAGTCCTCCTCCATCTCTAACGCCACCAGCGGTGACAGCAGTAGGTTTTGTCCCATAAAGCCCCAGAACATCTCCATTTCTGTGCTCATTTGTCTGACTTTCCTGGTGGGACTCCTGCTTAATGTCTTCAGTCTGTGGGTGTTCACATGCAGGACACCAGAATGGACGTCCAGCACCGTTCTTCAGTTTCATCTAGCTGTCAGTGATGTCCTTATGTGTCCTATGGGACCGTTTATGGCAGTATATTATCACACTGCTAACTGGCTTTTTGGGAGCGCTCTTTGTCGGCTTAAAATAGCTTTAATAACCATTCACATTTACAGCAGTATTCTGTTTCTGACTCTCATTAGCATTCACCGCTATGTGGCCGTGGTACGCTACAACCAAGACTCTTACATGAATCGAAAGGACTTTGTCCAGAAGCTCTGTGTTGGAGTTTGGCTTTTTGTATTGGTTAAAGGAACTGTTTTAGCAGCGGTTTTAGACACAAGCACCGTGGACAATCACACGTTATGCCTCAGTATTCACCAAGAACAATATACTGACATTTATTTAATTGTAAACTTCACTGTCCTCATTCCTGGATTACTTCTATCCTTCATTGTTTCTGCGATCTGCTACACTCTTCTGGTGCGCTCGATGTCCCGTCTCGACACTAGCCATGATAGTGGACAAGCTATTAAGAGCAAATCATGTAAAATGGTGGCTGTTTGTTTGGCTATTTTTGTTGTTTGTTTCACGCCTATGAATGTGGTTCGCAGTGTGGGTCTTGTGGTCAAGAAATTCTTACCCCACAAATGCAGGCTCCTTTTAAAAGTTGAGACTGCATACTATGTGTCATGGATCTTGGCTGGAGCCAACTGCTGTCTCGATCCAATTATCTATTGTTTCAGCTGCCAGAAATTCACAAAAACATTTCGTATCTCTCTTAGGAAACTAGGTTTGAGGCTTGAAATGAGCCATGGCGAATCTTCATAAGATTGCCCTCATCTTAGCAAGAACAGCCCTTGGTTAGCAAGGAACATACTGAAACTGTTGTTACAGTATATATATGTATTATGTATGTGTTGGCATTTTGTGTTGATACATTTTTTTATTTGGTCTCATTCTGTATCGCGTATCTTGTCAGTGTCTGCGCTTGCTTGGCCATTTGTTGTGGAGAAAATAAGGAAAGTGTGTTCAAGCGCCAGCAGAAAACAGTGTGAAGAAATACGCTTTGAGAGAAGCAGTCTTTATCAGCAGAAGTTAAAAGCTGCTTGTAAGTGTATTTACTTGTCTCATTAGTGTTTAGTGCAGTTGTCGCTGCTAGGAAACGCTTGTTTTGTATACTGTGGGACTGTATACTTGTATACTTTTAGGATTACTGATAAACTACTGTCATTTGATTTGTATTTGTTATTTATTTTAATTTTAGTTAAATTATGTCTGAATTTATTATGCCTGTATAGGTCTTTTATTAAGTTTTTAGTTTTATTTAATTTAAATTATTTTAATTCTTCAACAAACTAAATGGAAATGAAATAATATATATATTGAATTTATAAATGTGTATGTGTATATATATATA